TGTCTCAGACTTCCTGAAACATGCAAGCTATTATAAATCAGCTCTATTTTCAGAGAAAAGATAACTTTAGAAAATCGCAAGCTAGCACACAAGTGCTGAGGGTGGAAAAGAAAGAAGCTACAAAAGACAAAACACCAGACTGGCCACATGACCTGCTACTAGTCAGAGCTCTCTAAAACTATGTGGATATGCTCCTAGTCTAGTCAGATAGTACTATACATTGCCATGATATAGCATTAGTAGCCCTGGGATTAAGGACAATATGAAGACTAAGTGAAATAGATAACTTCACTATAAGAGCTATTAAATGGAATGATGAGAGAATTTTGTGGGTCAGAATTTGTAAATCGAAAATAGATCAATTAAGAAATGTGAGATTTATCCTAGTGGAAAGCACAGATTTGAAATATTGCCCAGTTAAGCTGTTAAAGCAGTACTTTAAGATACGGCTAAAAACAAATGACAATGCCTCCATATTTCTATCAAAGCAAGCAAAAAAGGTCACTGTTTCAGCAATAGGTTCGATAGTGAAATGCGTTGCTGAGTATGCGAGTTTCAAAAGACGATTCATAGCCCGCTCGCTGAGGATCAGTGGAGCTACAAAGGCTATCATTGTAAAAATAAGTCTTACACTAATCTGAGCAATTGGTGGTTAAAACTCGAAAGCTGTTATGTTGTATCTAAGGATAGTATTCACAGCAAAGGCTGAAATCTCCTGCCGAATGGGCTTTTAAAAAAAAAAAAAAAAAGAGAGAGAAAGGAGATTTAGAAAAGAGACAGTGCTACCTCAAAGAGGCTAGGGCTTCCAAAAAAAAAAATAAAATAAAAAATGAAAAAAGAGTAAAATTAGTTTATTTTTGGGTTTAGGTTTCTGTGAAAAAAAAGAAAAGAAATTTTATTTTGGCTTTTGACAAATAAAGACTTAGCTGGTTTTGCCCACGCTTTTCTTTTGCTTTTTTTTTTTGTACTGTTTTTCTATGCTTGTCAATTTCTTGTATGATCCTCACCAACAGTCCCACACTGTACTACAAGTTTAAGTATGGATGTATTGTTGGCCATGGAAGTTGTTTGTTCAGATAGAAAGGACAGCTTCCATGACGAATAATAATAATGAGCCGCTTGTGAACAAAGTCACAAGGTGGTACATTATTGTGAGTCACTAGACCTTCCCATGACTGATGATCATGGGACATGTCCATAATAAAATTGTATATCTGAGTAACCTGATGATCAGGTTGTTCTTTGTTCTTGAATTTTTCTGCTCAACTTTGTGTCTAGTGATCCCATCCCACCTCACCCGAAAGAAAAAAAAAAAAAAAAAAGAGGAAGGAGCAACCTATGATACTTGAAAAGTCTGATCACATGACCCACTGCAGCTTGTTTGGCGAGGTTCAAAATGGGATTACCACGGTTATTCTTGCCCCATAGCTTTTTACGTAGCAAAGAACTTTTTGCACTAGGTGAAGCAGTGGGCACACATAATTTATCGAGTTTTCTATTTCTAGGTAAAGCAATTTACAGCTTCTGCGTCCGGACAAAAATGATAACTGTTAAATCTCCTTAATCTCGTGTTCATATGAGAGGCCATCCGGTCGATTGAATATGGTCCAAAAGCTGCTTCTATCTGCTAAAACATCTCCTCTTGGACATACCAATCTGATAAGTTGAATGCCTGGTTCAAAAATTTGCTGGGTTTTCTAACGATAGTACCTACTTTATTTCATAAATCTAAATATCTTTCTTTAGACAAACTTGCCACAAGCTTCTGTAAGCCTCCTTTTGCTACTAATATTTTTACCCCATTTTATTGTTACCAAAGCCATGTGACTGTCTATGAACACTAGAACCCAGAATCTTTTCAACAAGTTTGAGAAACTCTAGAGCCCGTGTAGAACTGCTTCCACCTTCAACTTTGCTATTTTTCGAAAGCTTAACCTTTCTGTCTAATTTCTGTATACCATTAGATCTTCTAATTTGGTGCACCAACTTGTGGTTGAGATATTTACGAATAAGCTCTTTATTAATAACAGCCTCCAGGCCAGGCAGCCTTTGTATTTTTCTAGGTTTTCTAGCAGCCAATATAGGGCAATTTTTGCCTGACTTAACAGGCAGATTTTTTCATCTCACATTCATTGTTGTCTGTTTGCTGCATCTACAAGGGAGTAGAACTCCAAATACTTTACTTGTGCAGGGGCAAAGACCCTTGCTAGGCTCTGTACCTTGCCTGTGATATTGCTAGTTTTCTGGCCATTGT